TAACATCGCATAGCCTCTCACCATGTAGACTCAAGTCTCCAGGCCTACGGCTTTGTACTTACATGACCTTGAAAGTGTGTCATCAAGCCTCTGGATTCCAGTCAGTCCTTTCACAAAATAGAGCAGTTACTTTTCCTGCCTACTGTGCAATTAATAAAAAATAATAATAACTGTGAAAGTGATTTATGAGTCGTAAAGTCTCAGACAACTAGACGAGAATATTAACAGCAGTTATAATGGAAGGAGAACCGTCCTTTACCAGGCTGGGCAAATTCCCATAAAATGAGGTCACCAGTCAGCAACCTTTAAAGGTGGGAGAGCACTGGGGATTTCCGCCAATGTATTTCTTACTCTCTCCCTATACGTGCAGGCCAGTCGCTCTCGCCCTTCAACTGACCAGCATCTGCCTAAACATGTCCACTATCAAAGACAGCATTCCCTCTGATTCCTGCATATGAACCTCTCCTAAGTATTCTCTCTCTCTCTCTCCACCCCTCTCTCATTGTAATTTGAAGACTGTTCAAAAATTCACTTGATTTTGAAGACATGGCTCAGTGGTTGCAAGACCAGCAGCTCTTCCAGAGGACCAGGGTTCAATTCCCAGCACCAAGTTCACACCAGTCTGTAACTCCAGCCCCGGGAAACCTGACTTCCTTTCCTTGCCTCTGTGTGCACATGGTAAACAGACAACCCGGGCAGGTAAAACATCCACACACAAAAACTTAAATAGTTTTTAATCCACTGGAAACATTTTAAAAAAAATCTTGAAGTAGCCGGTAGAAGCTTACTCAGCCTAGAACTGATCTCATCTTTTTAAAACCCTGGTCACCTTCTACCTTTTCCAATGACTCCCCCCATGCTGACACCTATGGCTATGCCTTGGACACCTAATCCTCTGGTGAATGGGCTTTGCCCCAGTGCACCAGACTATCCCCGAGAGAAAAGCTTTAATGTGGGGACTGAGGGAAAAAACAAACAAACCTAGTGATTTCAATCTTATTTACTCACAATCTTGTAAAAGTTTCCCAATTTTAAAGATACTCTAGTAATTCTCCCCCCCCCCCCTTCCCGCCCACCCAGAAACACCAGTACTCAAAAAGCTCCAGGAATGAGATCTGGAAAGATCATGATTCCTGTGACTGACCCGGCCCTCCTGCCCACTGTGGCTTCGCAACATCAGAACTTATTAATTACAAATGTGGTGACTTGTCTGGCCCACATCTCACCTGACTCCCGCTTGCTCCCTTGGGATCCCATTCCACAGTCAGAGGACTCTCTATTTCAGAAAATAAGATTTCTAGATGTGTAACCTAGAGTTGTCTTCCGGAAGGCCCATCCTATTACTTCTAAAGGCTACAGTAAATAACTCCCGATGCTCACTGACAGCCGCTCTCTTCAGAGATTTGTAGATTGTTACCTTCATCTTTCCCTTCATCGTCATTTAACCCAGCCGTATATATTTAATTCTTTTCATCTTTCATCATAAATCACTCCCTTTGGCTCTTAAATCAGTGTTCTGCTCTTCTTTGGACTGGTTCCAATTCTCCCAATTCACCTCAAATAACTGATATCCCTCCTGGGAGCTCCAATTTCCTCTCCATCTTCCTTTACTCTCTCTGCCCCTTTCAGAAGTGAAATGAGAATAGATAGACAATATGACAGATCAAGGGTCATGTGTACTGCACTGCATGCATCTACTCTAAACTGCCCACATTCTCTGTGGTGCATGTAATGTCCCAGGCTGTGTCTCTCCTTTCCTGAAGTGGGTATGGGAAATGTCTAGTAAACAGACCCTTCTATCCCACAACACTCTCTACAGCTCTGTTTGTTAGATCACAGAAGCTGATCTCAAAGCACCTGCAAGCCAGGATGGAAGCCAGAGCTGTGTGGGTAATGTACTAGCATCCAAGCAGACCTCTTTGGGAGTTTTGAACTGTTCTGGATAGTACATCACCATTCACGGAATCCCAGCAACTGCCTCTCTGAATGGGTTCTCCCAGGAACTGCTTCAGGCATTGATCCTGTTTATGAATTCACAGTAATCCACAAAGAAAAACCACAACCATGTCATTCATTACAAAGACTCTCAAGCATCCTTTTGTCCTCTCAGGCAGCCCAAAACCACAAGCAATACAATGAATGGTTTAGCTTTGTCCTTACTGGGTTCTTTTCCATTTTCTCACCTCCCTAGACATGGTCCTGTTTAAGTTTAGGAAACTATCTTCAGTCTATGACAAGCGGGTTCCTGCAGAACGTTGACAACAAGGGGTGGCAGAACAACATCCCCCCACACATAGACCCGTCAGCACCATTGCTCCCCTCTAGGCAGGACCACAGGCTCCTCGGTCGGGGAAAAAAGAAACTGAATTGTCCATATTCCTTGCATTTAATTGAAGATCCTATGTCACAAAAGAGTAAATGCCCCATTCTATAAATAAGAGCCCATATAAAAATAATAAACTCATCTATTCCACCCAACAAGAGAAGTAGAAAGATCAACCCCAGTAGCAGAATGTAAACCTGAATTTCCACACAGAATAATGAATGGAGCCACAGTGGTGAGTGCTCCCACCCAACACAGAATGCAGTGTTTGCAAGAGGATGTGTCCACCCCACGGGAAGGTATGCAGTGGAGTCTGTGTCTGGGGGCGTGGGGAGGCTGCGAGGTGAGGCAAGAGGCTAGCCCTGCATGGCTAGCTGCCTAACTGCGGATAGTATATGTCCTCAGAGACAAGAGAGGCCATCCTGTTCAAGTGTGAGCACAAGGCCTGAAGTGCTTTTGAATAAGCTGTCTGTCTCTCTGGAGGTCACAGGGAGCTCATCCAGTTACACTTAGTGTCTTATTTGATCCCATCAATAACCATTTGATCTCAATCCTGCCGAAAAATGCTTGGCCAAAAGTTCTAGTCTTTTAATGGCAGAATCCTGGCTCTTTCTGAAGCCAGCACTTCTATCTGTGTCGAATGATGCATCAGTGTTGGCCCCGCTGCCAAATGGACTGCACTCCAGAGGGAGGGCTTGGGATGCTCACTGCTTCCCTGCAGCCGGTAGCAGAGCAGCTCTTGAGAGACACTCCTTCTACATGAAGCTCCCCCCCCCACCCCGAGCATGGTTTGATTTCACAGACAACTACAGTAGGATGCTCTTCGAATACATTATGTGACTCAAGACATCCACTGATAGTTTCTTTCCAGCCTGTCTGAAGTTGGCAGGTTCGGGGCTGGAAAATGACCCCCTTTTGCCTGCCGTCAACGTGTAACAACAGCTGATGGAGACTGCTGAGGCGTATGGTCATGTCACAAGAGGTGATGAGGAAGCCCCAGCAATGCTCAGACAGGAAAGGGAAAGAAAATTGTCTTCCCAGAGAGTCATTTTCACATCCGTTACAGAAGCGTTGGACACTAAAAGAGAATGCTGCATACATAAACCACAGAAGCCACAAAGCCATTAAAGCCCAGCTGTTCTTCACAAAAGTGTCCTTAGTGGGACAACAGTTTCATTCTCTCCTCTCATTTCACTGACGGCCCTGCCAAGCTCATCACACCCTGCCTTTCACCAGGCACAATGCAAATCCCAGCACTGATCATAAGGGGTTGTTTTAAGGGGTGCCGAAGCCACTAATGCCAGTGCTGAAATGCAGATCTGCCCTCTGTTTTCCTTGAGGACCACATACCAGTACAGTTTCTGTGCAGTGCCAGGGGACCCTCAGCTTCTCGGAAGCTCTGCTGCAGGAGAGTACTGAGTGCAAGTGGGCGTGGTGTGCGTGTGTATTAGCATGGGAGAAGTTGTACCTCTACAATGAACCCCGTTCAATGCTTTCCATCCAATTAATACTAAACATTAGTAACCAACGGAGCATAAGAACTTCATTTATTTCTGAGAATGAGAATGATAGAAAGGGAGCTAGTTTTGCTCAATAGAATCAGTGTGGGCTTCTTTTTAAAAACCCATGATTTCTCTTTCTGTGATTTTCTCATTCATTTACATTGTATATTCGATTCATTCACAAGTCCTTCCCCCATGGCCTCAAGAGAGAAACATTCATTCAAAACCGCTGGTTTGCCATTCAAAAAATACTAGTGGAAGAGTTAGAAGTAAGTGCTTACACACACAGCCTTAACTTGATACATGTGGGAAGAAATGGGGGAGTAAATGAAACAGAAACCTCATTCCAGGAGCCTCCAGCAGTCTGATCTGCAGGGAAACTGGCCCGCCAGAGACTATCATCAGGAGCAGCTGCTACATCCATGCAGGCTGAGACTCCCAGGGAAGACGGAGGGAGTGGGCGAGGACAGCAGTGACGACAGTTATTGCTTCTCCCCCAAATCAAGGCAACCTTATCGATTTTCGTCCCTTTCTCCAGAACTCTCCTGCCCCTTGTTCCTAGGTTCCCCTGGGACTTTTCCAGGACATCTGGGAAGAGTGAGAGTCTGACAGGGCAAAAAAAGAATGGGGACAGGAGTCCAGAATGAATAACTAAGGAAGAGGGAACCTCTGTGCTAGCCAGGACTGGGGAGGAGGGCCAGGGCCCGGTGGTTGGCTGAGACTCAATATAAAGAGGAATTCTATATTCTCTGGGAAACTCTGGCACATTCCCCAAATAGGTGGTGGCCTATGAAAGGAACAAGAGTCTGAAAGAAAGGGAGATAGTTTGAAGCCCCACGCTAACTAGGAGCTTAGGAGTTATTGGGGGGGGGGGCATTTCAGCCATTCTCAGAGCCCAGGACAGAGGGCATCCAATTATGATACAACTAAATCATGTGTAAGTCGGGGTAAGGCATTCTGCCAACACTGAGAAACTTTTCTCCCAACTTAGTTACTAAAGAGGGAAGACGGCTCTATTGGGAATTGACTATGTTCAAACACACAGTGAGAAACTGTGGGTATAATTTCAAGAATGATGAAAAAAGCCTAAGAAGCACAAGGGTTCGTTAATAGTGGCTACAAGTTGGTGTAACTAAAAATGCAAATCCCAACACACTCTAGTGGGAGCTGCTCACCGGTCCCGAAGATCTGGAAGAGAAGGCGGGGCTGGGAGGCTCGGATCGCGGTGGATAGCCTTCCCTCCCTGCCCACTTCCGATGCTTTCTTTTCGGGCATCAGGCGGATCCTCAGCCGCCCCTCTCCGTGGCGAATCCACCAGCTGAACAGTTCGCTGAGGTTGAACTGGAGTATCCCCACAGCCGTGGCCTCCTCTGGCGGTCCGATGCAGCCTTCAAGGATCGCCTCTTCGCCCAGCTCCAGCACCAGCTGTTTGGCTCGCCTGAGCTTGCGCACAGAGCCTCCCTTCAGCACCCTGGACAGCGTCGAACCCACCTCGGGACTAGGCGAACTGATTTCTGCCCAGGAGACCCCAGACGGTGGCCCCAGCAGTCTAAGTAGAGGGGCACAGTCCAGAGCTAGTGATCCCCGAGTCTCCAGCCCACCAGCCCCGGGTTCCGAGGGGGACGGCGGCTGCGGCAGCAGTAGGTCTCGGGCATAGACACGGAAGAGAGAGGGCACCACAAAGTCCACTGCTAGACTCTTTCTCTGCAGACGCGAGTAGCTGAGTGGCTCCCGGGGCTGCAGAGGCGGCCCTGAGGCCGGGGAACCCGCCTGCTGATCTGTTGCAGCTTCCGAGTCCAAGGCTGCTGCCGAAAGCAGCAGCAGCAACAGCCACCGGAGCCCAAGGGCTCCCATCCCGCTGGAGGGCTAGAGTTTATATTAGTCTCCCTTTCCTCGCTGGTCCAGCCTTGCTCGCCCTTCACTCTCTCCAAGACAGGAAGGGGTTCCAAACAGTCCTTAGTCCTGAAAGGTTCCTTCCTCTTGATCTCAGGGATTGTGAGTAAGCTCGATTCTTCTGTTTTTCCAAGCTGCAAGCAGGCAAGAAGGGTTCTCAGCAAAACCGATCTGGAAGTCAGGGGCGAGTCCGGAGACCATGAGACACCCTGGGCTCGACAGCTGGACCCTGAGCCTCTCGCAGCTGCTCGGAGTGCTGCGCCCCTGTTTGTAGTGGCCTTCACTCAGAGACCAGAGAAACTACTACCATTGAAGGGAGGAGGCAATTAGTTACCGTTCTAGGAGCTCTCGGCGACCCGAGCTCTCCTCGCAGCCTCCAATCTTCCGCAACTTTCCAAGCTGAAAACCCTGGCTCCTGGCTGGTCACTGTCTTGCCCACGTCCTCCGCTCGTGTCACCTCCTCCGCGCTCCTTCCCTAGGAAGGTCTAGGGAAGGACCACCGGAGGGGGCTGCTTTCTAGCGCCCCCTCAAGTGACCTCCGCTGCAGGAAGTCTTTGGATCACCCTGCACGCTTGAACTTCTGGGCGTGAACGCAAGCTCTGCGTTGCGGAGAGGAGGCTCCTGCTGCCTCCGCGTAAGTTTGCAGCGTCTTTGCTGTCACCAATGTCTTGGCTCCTAGGAGTTCACTTCCCAAGCACCAGAGCAGCCCCGGCAACAGCCAAGGAGTGAAAGCGTTTCGCCCAGGGGAGTCCACAATCTAGCCCCCTCCTCACCTACCAGCAGCGCCCTCGGTTTTGTTAACTGGCCAGGGGGCGGCCGGAAGGAGTCTCGCTGCCCTGAGACCCCCTGGACAGAAGCAGCGGGAGGAGCCAGCTGCCGCTGCCGCTGCCGCCCCCAGTGCCGCTGGATCGCATCTGCCTGGGCGCCCGCCACTTGCAGCTGGCAGAGCCGCGAGCGCGCGCCGACAGGGGGCAGGGCCTCGGCGAGGGCGGGACTCCTGAGTGAACTCCACGCAGCAGCCCAGCCCACAGAGGCCGGCCCCGCCCCCTCCCTGGTCTAGCAACCAATGGTGCTGCTAGATCCGCTCCTATGCAAATCTGCAGAGGCCTCAGTATTCATTGAGAAAAGCACCAAACCCGCCCCGCCTCCCGCTGTTGATTCTTAGTCCTTCCTCCGGATTGTCTGCCCTATTTCTCCGCTGTGAGAGCGAGAGAGTATTTTGGACAAATGGGAAGACTGGAAGTGATTTTTGCAACCAAGCTCTCTCTCTAATTATGCATTTAACAGATTAAACGTGTCCGACTTCAGAAGAGCAGATTCCGGAATAAAACTGTAGACAAAGGAGGGGGCAGGGATAGCGTCACCCTGCAATATCCAAGAACAGCTTTTCTTGGGGCTGTGAAAGGGAACCTTCTGCCTCGACACTTAGGTTGTTTAAAAGCATTCCTGAGAGTCTGGTACTCCGTAATCTCCGAGCTGTTCTTCAGCCATACCAAATGCCGTTCAGACCTGTCAGCCACTTCATTTTCTCAGAAAGGTGTCTGAAAAGGTTTTCAGGGTAAATTTGTGGTGCCAGAGATGGGACCTAGAGCTTTCTGCAAGACAGGCTAACGTTCTACTGTTGAGCCAAACACGCTAGCGTGCTACCCTTTGTTTATTCATTATTTTAGCTTTTTGAAATAAGAGATTGTTCTGTAGCCCAGACTGGACTTGAACTCACTACGTTGCCTAGACTGACAGGAAAACTCTTGGCAATCCTCCTGTCTCAGTCTCCCAAGTGCTGAGGTTGCAAGTGTAAGCCACCACACCTACGACAAATATTTTTAATTTCAATTCTGGGTCATAGATGACAAGAGACTTCCAACCCAATCCTCATGCCCTCTTGCCTGCTATGCTTCCATGAATAGCAGGCCAGAGACTGTGGGTGTGGCCCAGTGAAAGACACGGGAGTGGGGCAGCAGTGCGCAGACTCCAGGCCTTTCATTTACTCACTTAAAATGCTTGGGTTCTCCCTCCAGTCTCCTCTCCTTTCAGAAAATGGCTGTGTTTCAAGAGAAGATTCATCAAATGCCCCCATAAGACGAATCTTTAGTTCACACAAATTTTTTCAGTCCCTTCTCTCCAAGGTTGACTAGCATTCCTTGGGCAAGCTCTCCCAATACCTGAGTACATTGTCTCATGGATCCTCCTTCACCCAGCTCTGAGAGACACAATGTCTTGCTCACAGCCCCACGTAAGACAATTTCCAAGTGGAGTCTCAGCTCTTCCATGGGCTGGGGTCTTTTCTAGCACTATGCTATCATGTTGGCCAGTGAAAACCTAAGAAAAGAAACAAAACAAAACAAAGAATACCACTACTTCTCAGGGACTTCCAGCTTCCATGTACATTTGAAATTCTTAACTGTACCAACTTAATTGTTTGAATGACAAAAATTATTTGACACAAGGAGGAGAAAGTATGTTCCTATCTTGGGGAGGGAGGAAGGGAAGGGAGGAAAGGGAGAAAAAGGAAGGAGTATGAAGTTAAATATTTCCCTAGTATGTTCAGATTCAGATCGATTTTCCTGGTGTGTGCACCCTCAGAAGAATATCTTTCTGTCTGAAACCTGAAAAGGGTCAAAACACCAGCCCCTTCACACCCCACTCCGTCTCCTTTCTGTCTAGAGAACTCTTGTTCAGAGGCAAATTGACTCGCTCATTTGTCAATGACTATGAACAGACCTGTGATATCAGTGGCCACTAGGGGGCTGCAGAGACTTGAAACTCAACCAGGATGAGCCCTCAAGGTTTCCTGAACTCCCTGACAATGGCTCCGAACATTGCTTTTGTATCCCATGGACACTAGGGTCTCAATTAACTCTTAGCCTTATTACATTCGCTCATATATCCCAAGGAGAGACAAGTGCCTTTCCCTGGAGGTTAAATTAGACTAACTCAAAAATGTTCCCTATTTGCTAGGTAATTTTGTAAATGAGTCCAGAAAGGCTATTGATAATCTACCAGGCACTGAGCATCTGCATTTACAGGTGTGTATGCATGTGCCCGTGTGTCTCACATCACACAAGTAGCCTTTTAGGAGGAGATAGCTATTATTACTATTATTTCCATTGAAAGCCCAGAGAGGCAAAAATAAATTGTCCAAGGTCAAACAGCAAGTAAGTAACAGAGTTAGAATTTAAATGAGTGGTTCTTTTCCTCCAAAAAAAAAAAAATCACACATCCCACTGAGACAAATTAGGCCTTCTCATCAGAACTACAACTATAATTTTGACATCGTTATTCTGTTCATTACCACTGAAAAGTAAGCTTACAGAGAAGTGGGATTTAAAACAAGCAGGAGAAGTAGAGACAAAAAAGCCGAAATGCATGAGCATTGAAAGCCAACATATCTTGTGCACATAGTGTGACCCCAGTATTTTTCAAAATAATCCTCATTTAATGTTTATGGTAATGGGGTAGGGAGTGCAGCTCAGTAGTATAGACCATTCACAAGACCCACATTTTATTCTCAAAGCTCAAAAGATACTCCCAGTAACTCTATTCTATGGGGAGCAGGGGTTATAGGTCCCTATTTACAGAGGACAAATGGCAGCTGAATTAGGGGGACTCCTCATTGAGTCTCTTTAGGTGTCAAGATTTATCCCCTGAGTTGACCTAGATATCAGACAGGCAGTCCAGGGTCTTAGTTTACCACAGGAGGTAAACATGGCAGAAGGCGCTGATGGATTTGTGTGGACGGAGGAAATAAAGAAGCCGAACACAAAGCAGGAGTGTCACAGGGAGGTGAGGATGACAGAGAGGGCGGACACAGATGTAGAGGATCGAAGAGACAATCGAGGAAGGAGCGCTGCTGTGGTCACCTTGCAGACAACTTTGGTGACTAAAGGAGAAACAGGATCCTTTGCATGGAATTCCCAATTTTTCAATACAAAGAAATGGACAAGTCAGTCAAGGTGGGCTTTGGATTCTCTATAAGGAAGGAGATAATAACAGCAGCACTTTAAATACAGGTGTATGGTATACTTAAAGTAAGCACATCTCACAACCATAAAATCTGATTGGGATCTACAGACCTTGGACATCCATGCAGTCAACAAACATTTCTTGAGTATCTAATGTATACAGGACGCTGGTGAAGAAGATACACTGAGTCCTTCATCTCCAGATGCTCACATTCCCATGGTGCAAAGATAATGACAGACAGAAAGAGAATATAATAAAACCTTGCAATGGGGTTGGGATACTGCAATAATCTAGACAACTAGCTAGAGGAGTGGTCTTTGAGAAAGCTAAATGGCCCGGAAGTCCTCATTTGTTGGGAGGAGTGATCTTGACAATATGCTAAAGAAGAATGGTCTCAGGAATATCACTGCAAGTCTATGAGATTAGAGCGTGTTTGCACATTCAAAAGGCAGTACAAGGCCAGTAGGGTTGGGATATAATAAATAAAAGACATAAAAGCTGAAAGGGTGAACCAGGGTCCACTTCCTTGAGGGTTTCAGAGAACATGGCAATAAAGAACGCTGACGTCTGATTGCTGCAAGGGGACACTAGGTGGTTGAGTTGGGGAGTCATTAAAGAAAGATATGAAAGTTGGATGGAGACTTGGGAAGAAGGAGCCCAGAGAGAATAGGATGAGATAAGCAAGGGCAACTTCAGTGGATATGATCAAAATTTATTATATACATATTTTGTCAAAGAATACACTTTCAAAAGGAGGACTCGGGACCCTGAGGATTTGTCCAAACAAAGCAACAATTTGCGTGCAGGAAGCCAGACTGGAAACACAGCTTTGCTTCTTAGAGGCTGAAGGATCTTGAGAAGCCTTGATTTAGCCAGGCTCCTGGCAAATTAGGAAAAGAAGATGGCATAGTCTTTAATACAGCAGTTGAGAAGCCTGTGAGGGGGCCTTCAAGTGACCCAATGGTCTCATCCTATACCAGGGACAAGAGCTGACAGATGAGAGGGGACTAAATTTTCAGAGGAACTAGAAATAAGGTTAATACAAACAGAATAGAGACTGGGGGGGAGACAAAGATTTATCTAAAAGTATGTTGTAGCCCACAGGCAATCCTCAGGCCTAATTCTGTAGCTTGCTAATGCTGGCCAGCCATATAAACTATCTTCTGATTTTCATTATGGTAAGAGGTAAGGAAAGTCCTTCAGTACCAAATTAGTCGATATTTATTAAGCACCTACTATGTGCTTTGTCTTGGTTTGATGTTCAGAGGAAAGATACTTTGGCAAATAAAAGTTCAGATTGTGGGACTGAGGACATGACTCTGGGAAAGTGCTTGTCATGCAAGCAAAAGGGACCTCAGATGACTGGTGAGGTGCCAGGCCCCTTTAATCCCAGCACCTAGAAGTAGACATAGAAAGATGCCTAGGACTTCCTGGCCAGCGACTCTAGCCAAATTGGTGAGCTCCAGATTTAATAAGATACTGCATCTCCCAAAACAAAATGGAACGTAATTAAGGGAGACACCATGTTGAGTTCTATCCTCTGTATACAGATGCACAAATGAGCACACACAAGTCTAGATCCTGCTACTGTGGGACCATTCAAATATTAAATTTCAACTACCTGTGCCTATGCTGCAACTAAGCAAACATTACAAATAATCCGAAAGCTTTGGAGGAAAATACTAAAAGATAGACTTACGGTGATGAGAATCATCTTTTCATCAGAGATGACTTTTAATAATTTTATCAGCTTTGACCGTCCCCTACAAAACACCCAAATTTCAGTTGCTAAAAAAGCAATGGAATATGTTCATCTCATAGTCCCTGCCCTCCACTTCTGGGCTCCGATCACCAGTCACTTAGGGATCCAGGCTGATGCAGCAGCTATGACC